TAAAACTGTCTCTTTTTCAAGATGACATGCTATTATATACAAAAAACCCTAAAGACTCCACCGGAAAACTTTTAGAACTAAAAAAATCAATAAACTTATGGGATACAAAATCAAACATACCAAAATCAGTTACATTTCTGTACACTAATAATGAACTATCAAAACAAGAAATTCTAAAAACCAATCCTAGCCCAGCCGGTGTGGCTCAGTGATTGAGCATCGACCCATGTACCAAGAAGTCGCCAGTTCGATTCCCGGTCAGGGCACATTTCCAGGTTGTGCGCCCAGTCCCCAGTGCAGGGCATATAGGAGGTGGCCATTCAATGTTCTCTCTCATTGATGTTTCTCTCACTCTCAACTCAATAAAGAAAAAAAATTTTAATAAATAAATAAAAACAAATCCTAGTTGCAATTGCATTAAAAAGAATAAAATACTTATAAAAATTAAACCAAGAAGGTTCAAGACCTGTTCACTGAAAATTGTAAGACACTGATGAAGGAAAATGCAGAAGATACAAATAAATGAAAAAATATTCCATAGTCATGAACTGGAAGAATACTGGTAAAACATTTAAAATACCCACAGCAACCTACAGATTCAATGTAATCCTTATGAAAATTCTATTAACATTTTTCACAGAAATACAACAATCCTAAAATTCACACAGAACCACAAAAGACAATGAATAACCAAAGCAATCTTGATTAAAAAAAAAAAAAAGAACAAAGTTGGAAGAATGACACTTCCTAATTGTTAACTATATTACAAAGCTACAGTAATCAAAACAGCATATTGACATAAAAACATATGCTATAGAGCAAAATGAGAAAAATTTCAAAAAGGTATTATTAACAAAGACTGCAGCTATCACTAATATTGTTACTTATGAGAGTTCCTAGCCATGTAGTAAAAAAATACGACTGAAAAAAAGTAAAAAATTATCATGATTTTCAAAAAATATGTTCTACTTACAAAATCCAAGAAAAATTACTAAAAACGATTTGATCTTACAATATAGTCTAGCAAAGAAGGAAGATAAAACCAGACCCAGCCAGAGAGGCTCAGTGGTTGAGCGTCAACCCATGCACCAGAAGATCATGGGTTTGATTCCTGGTCAGGGCACATGCCCAGGTTGTGGGCCAAATCCCCAGTGAGGGGCATCCTGGAGGTGGCCAATCCATGTTCTCTTTCATCAATGTTTTTTTTCTTTCTCTCTTTCTCTCTCTCTCTCTCTCTCTCTCTCTCTCCCTTCTTCTCTCTAAAATCAATAAAGAAAAAAAATGTTTTAATGCTACAAAACAAATAATAGCTTTGTCATATCACAGCAATAAGTAATTTTAAAACATAATTCCTAGATGTAAAATTTCTATATTGTAAACATGTGATTTTTAACTGTATTAAAATGTATTTCAATGCAATTCAAATTTTTTAAGAACTCCAAAAAATTCTTTATACAACTCAATAAAGTTACTCTAAAATGCACCAAAAAAATAAGTCCAAGAATAGTTGGGAAAGCTTTTGAAAAAGAACACTGAAAAGTATTGTTTTATTTTCTATTAGACAAATTTCTAAACATACACAAAGTATAGATGGCTATAATGAACCAATAATATTGACATCACCCAGCTTCAATAATTAACACTTGGAAAATCTTGTTTAATTTAGCTCTTAGTTTTGTTATGCCAGAATATTTAAAAGCAGATTAGAGATGTCATACGGTTGCACTTCAGTATAACTTAGAAATATATGCCTAACAGACAAAGACTTTAAAAAGAAAAACACCACAATTGCAGGCCCAGAAAAGTTGACTAATATCGTATAATACCCAGTTCAAGGTCTATTTTCTCCAAATCTCTCAAAAATATTTCTTTACACTTTGTTTAAATCAAGCTCCAAACAAAGTTTACACATTGCATTTAGTTAATGTTTCTTAAGAATCTTATAATCAATATAACCATCAACCATTTTCGCTTGTCATTTATTTGTTCTTGTATCTAACACTCTCCTACTGCTAGATCATTTTTTTTTTTATCCTCACCTGAGGACATTTTCAGATACAGTGGGAGGGAGAGAGAGGAAGAGAGAGAGAGAGAGAGAGAAACATTGACGTAAAAGGGACCCACTGAGTGGCTGCCACCTGCATGACCCAACCAGGGCCAGAGACAAACTGCAACCAAGGGACATGCCCTTAGCGGGAACCGAACCTGGGTCTCTGTGGACCATAGGCTGACACTCCAACTGCTGAGCCAAACTGGCCAAGGCCTGCTAGATCATTTTACATAAATTCTACAAATCTGTGAAGACTTTTGTTGCATCATAAGAAAATAAGCACATTTAATTCATTAATAGTATCTACTAAGACAAAGGTTCAAATATTACCATTTGCATCAAACAGGATTCAAACAAGGTCCTCACTCTATACTTAGATAATATTCTCTAAAATTACTGTTAAGACCCACCACACATTCATTTTTATTTTCCTATAACAATTATTTGTTGTAAAAGCCAGGTCATACTTGTAACGAAGAACTTCCCACATTATAGACCTGGCTAGTTGGATTCTCATGGTATTGCTTAACTTTTCCCTCAATCTCTGTAGTATTTGTTTAAAGTGCTAATTATATCTAGGGGCTGAATTAGACTCAGGTTTAAATGGGAGGGCTGGATAGGAACATTTTCATAGGTGATGCCACACACATATTATTGCATCATATTAGGAAGCACATGATAACTAATGTTCCACATTGGTAATGTTAAGACTCATTAGCTGAAACTACACACAGATGATTATTACGTAAGCCCATTGTTTCATCAGAGATAGCAACACAGTGATTCTTAAAACTCTAACATTTTCTAGGGGGAGGAGGGAATCAGTGGGGGAAAAAGGAGAAACATCTGTAACAAAAATTAATTATTAAAAAATAAATAAATTTTTTAAAAAATATTAAAAAAAAACTCTAACATTTTTTTCCAAGGACATAAACTGACATGCAACATTATATTAGTTTCAGGAATACAGCATAATGACTTGATATTTATACATATTGTAAAATGATCACAAGAATAAGTCTAAATTCTAACATTTTGAACTAGAATTCTTTTTTAAAAAATATTTTTTCTGTACTGATTTCAGAGAGAGAGAGGAAGGGACAGGGAGAGAAACATTGATGAGAGAGAACATCAGTTGGCTGTCTCCTGCATGCCCCCCACTGGGGATCAGGCCCACAACCTGGGCATGTGCCCTGACTGGAAATTGAACAGATAACAAAAATAAAATTAAAAAAGAAAAACATTTCTTCATTAATTATTTTGTTATCTCATTAAATTGATACAAGAAATGTAAATGCTGAATACTTTCCCTTTAATTATCAATTTTCAGAATGGCTAATAAAAAGCAACCTACAGTAATATCCAATGCTTCCTTTTTAAATATCATTATAGATCCATCATGTGTTTCTATATATTTAAGATGTTTTAATCTATTACAGAAATTTTTAATGGAAATTTATGACGAACATCATTTTAAACTATTGGGAAAAGATGGACTAGTAAATAAATGGTGTCGGGTCAATGAGCTCTCATGATAAAGTACATGCAGAAGTATACTAATAAATGCAGACGTATACTAGTAAGTGCATAACCGGAGGTTCTGTGAAACAAAAACATATTGGGGATTTTAGGGTATTAAAATAATATAGCCTAATTTTAGACTATTAAGATAGTATTCCCCAGGCCTATGTGTCCATGGTTACAGCATCAACCTGAACATTGAAGGGTTGTGGGTCCAATTCCTAGTCAAGGGCGTGTACCTGGGTTGCAGGTTTGTCCCAGCCCTGGTTGGGGCACATGCTTGAGGGAACCAATCAATATGTCTCTCACATTGATATTTTTCTCCCTCTCCTTCCCCTGTTTCTCCCTCTCCCCTTCTCTCCCCGCTCCATTTTGACTCTCTCTATAAATCAATGAAAAAATATCCTCAGGTGATATTTATTAATAAAGACTAATAACAACTAATATTAAGAATATTAAATACATGTAAAGAATATAGAATGATGCCTAATACAAGGCTTAGTAAGCTATATATATGGATGTGTGCGTGTGTGCATGCATGTGTGCCCTCATGCATGTGTCAACAGTTGTGTGCTGTTAAATGTTAAAAACTGGCTCCCTGCCCTGGCCAGTTTGGCTCAGCAGTTAGAGCGTCAGCCTGTGGTCCCGAGACACCCAGGTTCGGTTCCCGCTAAGGGTATGTACCTCGGTTGCAGTTTGTCCCCAGCCCTGGTTGGGTCGTGCGGGTGGCAGTCACTCGATGTGTCCCTTTCACGTCGATGTTTCTCTCTCTTTCTCTCTTCCTCTCTCTCCCTTCCACTCTATCTGAACAAAAAAATGAAAAAATGTCCTCGGGTGAGGATAAAAAAACAACCACTGGCTCCCTAAGAAAAATGATTTACTGATTTGTAGTGTTTGCTGATTTCTATTATGTAACACATCTAAAGTGAATGATTTCACACCAATGTAACGTCACTACATCCAGAGTTGGGGACAGAAATATATAACATTCTCATTAGCCACTGTGAACTGGCTCCAGTATACCAGTGAATAACATCCATATAGTCAATTTGTGAATATGTATGTGTTTCCATGTATATGGCTATGTATATATATTTATATGCATGTATATAAAATCAAAATGCCTAGAAAAAGTTCTGGAAAGATAGATATCAACTGGATGACAGGTCTGCTCTAGAGGAAGAAATGGTATTAGAATAGAAGAAAGATAAATGGAACTTTTGTCTTAACATTCATTGAATTCTTCACCTACAGCTTATTTATTTATTAGGTAAAAATAGGATAAATATTTTTTTCTTAATTATATGACGCATTTGATCACCAAGTATGTTCTCACTAACATTAACATGAAGTTCTAATATGATATAAACAACCAGATTAAACATCATATTACACAAAGAAAACACCTTCTGAGAAATGTACAACTTACTTTGGCTTCAGTTTCTCCCCTGTGAAGAGTATACAGATGATGGACAGCACTTTGTGATGAGGACCAAGGATGGGTCAGAATTTGGAAGACATGGAAGTCATGGCCAAGGGTATCTGTTGTGACTAGAAGCATTCCTGAAGGACACACACAAAAAAAGGGTAAAAATAAAAACAATTATGTATGTGGATGAAATATTTTCACAAAGTACTCATCATCCTTTAAAATATTATCAAAGAAAAAAATGAACAATGGTATAAGTTTTCACAATAAAAAACATTAAAACTATCTTTTTCCGATGTGAATACAAAAAACCTTAATGCCACATCATTATACAATAGCAAGAATACTAGTTTTATGATGTTACCATATGTCTAGTAAGAAATAGTTTTATTTGCCTGAATTGACAGAGTTCACAAGCATTTTATTTTATATTATTATTAATTTATTTTTGTTACAGATGTTTCTCCTTTTTCCCCCCATTGACTCCCTCCTCCCTATCCCCTCCCACCCCATCCCAGCTTTGTTGTCTATGTCCATCGGTTATGTAAACATGCATGTAAGTTCTGTGGTTTATCCCTCCCCACCTCTGAGGAATGTCAGTCTATACTCTTGAAGAGACTATTCTTTATCCACTGAGTTCTCTATCCTTTATTTGTTATCCATTGTCAACATGCCAAAGATCAACTGGCCATATTTGCATAGGTCTTCCTCTAAAAGTACAATTCTTTTTTTTTTTTTTCAGGTTCTTTTTTTTTCCCCCATCAGCATAAAAGTACAATTCTATTTGATCAATTTCCGTGTTTATACTTTCCTTAATGATTTCTGTAACAATGTAAGAAATCTTGAAATCAGGTAAAGTGAGTCCTCCTTTTCTGACCTTTTTCAACATTACTTTGGCTATTCCAATACCTTTGCCTTTCCAAACCCAGAATCAACTTTTTGTTATCTACTAAAAATAATTCCTAAGATTTGTGGGAGGACAGAATTAAGTCTATAAATTAATTTGGGGATAATGGACATCATAACAATATTCAGTCTTCTGATCTACAAACACATTATATTTAATAAATTTCTTGACTTTTTTTCATCTTGTTCTGCACACAACTTATAAATATATTTTCCTACATCTATTATAAATGGTACAAATTATTTATTTCAATTATATTTTCCTACATCTATTATAAATGGTACAAATTATTTATTTCAATTGTTAATTTTTCTTTGCTGTGATACAGAGATATAATTGACATTTTTTATATTGACTGCCAGGTGCAGGAGATTTGATGTAGATTACAAAGAATTTTTCTTTACAGGCAATCATGCATCATGTGGATAGACATAATTTTACTCCTTTCTTGTCAAACTACATACCTTCTTTCTTTCTCATGAATTATTACATTACCTGGGCTAAATAGATGTGGTGAGAAGCAATATTCATGTGTTGTTCCATTTCAGGAGAAAGCATTCGATCGTTAAGTGCAATGCTAGCTTAAGTTTGTATTAATGCCCTTGATCAACTTAAGGACATTCCTTTCTATTCCTTATTTGTTGAGAATTTTAATAATGAGCCAATGTTGAATTTCATTCAGTGCTTTCCTGCACCTATTTGAAACTTCTGTGCTTTTTTTCTTTAGTCAATTAACATGAATTTTAATAATAAATGATTATCAAATGTTCAACAAGTCTTGCATAAACTCCACTTATCAAAACCCTTTTATGCTGCTGGATTAAATTAGCTAACATTCTTGTTGAATTACCTCTTTCATCACAATGTCCCATTTTAACCCTGGTGTTTCCCTTGTTCTGAGGTCTACTTTTCTGATATCGATACCACCACTACAGCTTTATTTTGATTGGTGTATGCATGGTAAATATTTTTCCATTCTTTTAATTTTATAATCAATATAACTATATTTAAAATAAACAACTGGGAATTAGTTGGCCTTTTTAAATTCACTTGTAGATTTTTAATTGGTGCTTACAGTTTATACACATGTAATGTAATTTAATGGTAGGGTTGAATTTATATCTACTATTTTATTCATTTTTATTATTTTTCTGACTGTCTTACTGTGTTTGTTTCTCTGCTCTTTAATTCCTTCCCTTTTGGGGATAATTTTTTTATTTATAATATCCAATTTTAATTTATCTAATGATTTTTTGGATATATTTCTAGGTTTTTCATTGTTGTTCCAGGTATTATAATAAACATATCTAAATTTGTGCTGTTTATATTTTGTACAGAATTTCTATTTTTCTGTGGGAAGAATGGATTATTAGCTTATTCTGATACACCAGAAAGGAAATTACATTTTTTTACTGTTAAAACTTTTCTTTGATGAAAAAGAAAAGATTAAAGAATATTAAGCACCTGTGGGAGGATAAGATAGGGAGGATAAATGGAAAGATGAAGCATATTTGAGTTTGTTATTTACTTGGCTAATACAAGATACAGCTCTGCTCAATACATTCAATTTTTAAAATAACCAACTAGCTCGGCTGCTCTGACTCAGTGGTTCAGCATCAACTCATGCACCAAGAGGTCGCCAGTTCGATTCCCCACCAGGGTACATGCTCAGGTTGTCGGTCAAACCCCAGTGGGGGGGGGGGGGGGAGGCATGCAGGAGGCGGCCAGTCGATGTTCTCTTTCACTGATGTTTCTATCTGTCTCTCCCTCTCCCTGTCTCTCTAAAATCAATGAAGAAAACAAATTTTCTTTAATAATAAAATAAAATAACAGACTAGATGCCAATGCCCTGGTTACTTCCAGGAGAACACATTTTAAATGATGAAAAGTGTTATTAACTGAAGTCTACTTCAAATCTGTCACAGTTTATGTAACATTTCCTCCCACTCTGCACCTAGCTAAGGTCATGATGTCACTGACATGCTTTACATATTGTTGTTGTTATTCAAACAATAAGTTTCCAAGGCTGGGCATGAATGCTTTGTTTTCCTTTAGTGGACAGTATTTCTTCACTGCTATTTTTTGCTGAGTTATACTAAGTTTGCATTATCACAATTCCACTACTAGGTTTTGAGTCTACTTTCTTACAACAAAACTACTTTCTTCACATGACAACCCATCCAATGGATACATCGTTCTGACAGAAACTATGATGAACTTGCATCTATAACAAAAATATATTACTCAACTACTGAAGGTAAAGTTCATTTCATTTAGAATCACAGATCAGTATTTCACTCAAAATGAGCATTCAAATAGAAGTTCCTATTAGCCAAATCAAGACTAGTATTGTTCTGCATATGAATGCTTACAAATGGACACTTTCAATATGCTCCTAGCTTTTGAAATTGACATCAATATCTACGTTTCTAATATGAAAATGTATCCTTATTATCTGTGTATTCTATCTCAAATTTTTCTTTGTCCATTTCTCCACACAAACGTGGTTTCTGTAATCCAGCAATTTGCTTAATATTTTTTTGACAAAACTTTAAAAATGATGGGGAAAACTTGAAAGAGCAGAGAAGAAGAGAAGAAATAGCTTGCACAGCACTGTACAATCACATGCTTTCTTTTAATTTATCATTTCCTCTGCTGCACACGTTCTGCTGAGAGAAATGACAAGCCTTTTTTTTTTTTTCTAGAAAACAAGTTAAAAAGCAGATATACATAAAAGGAAAAACTTGTACAGAGTAGACTGTGGCTTGAGGAACTATTTATGCAGCATCAGAAGACTAAACCAGACTAGCCTGGCCATAAACTAAACCTACGCCCCAAATGAGGTGCCAGGCCACAAAATGCATTTGCGTCATCTGGGAATACAAGGAAAAGAAGGACTTCTAATTATAGGGCCTGGAAGCGGAAGCCTCGAGTGATTAGCTGTTTAGGCGCTGTTGTATGTTTATCTGGAAGCTTCCTCTCCCTCACTCTCAGCCTCAAGTTTGATAGATGAGCGTTAGCATCAGAGGGTGGAAACTGAAGCTGCTGATGGTACATGGCGTTCTCCAAAATCTGAGACTGGAGACTGAACATTAAGGCTTTTGTGGCCTCATAAGAACATAAGTCTCTTCAACTGGGCGTCAGCTGGTTAGCCCAAAAGGCAAAATTAAAGAGCAGCAAACCTCCACTGGGCATATGCTATAAAATCTTGGAAACATGAGTAGGTATGTCTTTTTGCCATATCCTATTTATAACACCTACCTAATTGTATGTTTTATCACATGCACACATATGAACGGGAAGACAAATTACCAGCTATTCACACTCTCCTCCAAGAAGAGGCACACACTGATATTCTGCATCAAAAAGAAATCTTTACAAAAATTCAGATTATATTACTCATAAAATAATATTGTTTGGGTATTAATTCTTGTAAACTTAATACTTTCTCATCAATACTTGTATAGATGGAAACTTACAAGTTGTTTAATTATTTTTAAAGTTATTAGTCAAATTTGTAAACACAAAAGCAAAGAAACAGAATCCTAGTACTGATCAAAATCTGTTAGGTCTTCAGATTACATAAAACCACAATAACATCATAGCCTATTAAAGTCTGATAAATAAAACCTTTAAAATGAACATGAATGCCTGAAAGCAATGGTCTCAAAGTCTCTCTATGGGCATTATCAATGTTGGCACATTTCTTAAACAGATTAAAGATGCTAATAATCAAACTCTATATTATATTCTTCCACATTTGTGGTCCAGGATATATTAAGACTTTATTGTATTTATGCTCAATAATACCATTAAAGGCATTGAAATAAACACTACCACAGAAACAAAGTACACGACTTATTTGATCCCTTCCCAAAGCTGCACATATCCAGAACCAAGATAAATTAGAACAAAATCTCTGATGTGGCTCTTATTCATTTGTTCCATGTGGGAAAGTCTAAAATCAACAATCAGCTCACTTATTTTATAACTCCTACATTTTTAGGAGGTTTTTTTGTTGTTGTTGTTTTTTTATCCTCACCCGAGGATATTTTTTTGTTTTTTGTTCAGATAGAGTGGGAGGAAGAGAGAGGAAAAGAGAGAGAGAGAAACATCGACGTGAAAGGGACATATCGAGTGGTTGCCAACCGCACAATATAACCAGGGCAGGGACAAACTGCAACCGAGGTACGTGCCCTTAGAGGGAACCAAACCCGGGTCTCTCTG